ATAAGCTCAAATATGTTACGCAAGTAGGTACACACGTGTCCAGTTTATTGTCTGTTATGTACATAAACAAGTTAATTCACTAAAAATTGAGCATGTTTTGACTGACACTATTGTGTGTCAATGTGTATTAAATAATATCTAGAAATAACAGCCTTGAATACTGTAGATTGCAAGGACCATATTATTTTTCCCCCGCAATCGTAAATTTTTTATCTATTTTTTTTCTTCTGCAGACAAAACAAGGTCATTACACCTGACGTGGACAAGACGCCGTGGTTACATATCGTGAAATCTGTAAGCTGAGTCTGTAAGGGGTCGTGCTTGTATTCTATATCACAGACAATTTTGTACATACACGTACCCCATATAATGTTATATACAATCAGACAACTACCCACACAATATGGGTCATTTTTATATATGCAGAAATAAGACATTTTTGTACATACACCTACCCCATATACTGCTTATATCCAATCAGACCAATACCCATACACTATGGGTCATTTTTTAATATATAAGACATTTTGTACAAATTCCTACCCATATAATGCTATATACAACTTTGATAAGACCACCACCTAAACAGTATGGGTAATTTTTTTTTATGTTAAGTCACATTGTCATGGACAGACAGACATCGTTTAAAGTAAGATATATCGGACTTCACCCCCCCCCCCCCCCCATTTCCAACCCACAAACCCTACAAAAGCACATACACACTCTCCCAGGCAGATGAGGCTCGATAGCTGGGGACACTGGTTAAAGTAGATATTTTCTATATAAATTCCATTTCGTTCGGGGAAGGAACTCTGACTGCAATTTAAGGACGAAGAAGGGGAGACAACGTTCACTCATACAAGCCCTGATATAGTACGTTGCAACACCAATTATTATATTTAGAATAAGCTACAGGAAATACAAATTGTTCAGAGAAAATCACAGTGACTTGTTATTTAAAGTCAAAAGGGGAAGACTAATTATGCCCTTTTTGTCAACACAAATCTTAATAAATAGCAGACGTTTTGCAAAAAATAAAAAAAAGAAAGAAAGAAATAAAAAATAAATAAAAATAAAGAGAAAATACTGCGGCGTAGACATTTAGTTTTAACCCTTTCCCTACGGCCAATCATGGTGTCGGGTGGTTAGACACGGTCTCTCGCACCCTGATGGGAGGGAAGACAAGCCTGGATAGAACCCACGGATGATAGCGACCAACCAGAGGCGTAGCGGTCCTTCCCGGCACCCGGGGACAAACTTTCAATTTGACGCCCTCCCCCCCCCCCATATATTTTTTATATTTATAATGTAAAACTGCAGCTAAAGTGAGCTTTTAATTTTTCCCCAACCCCATTTTTGGCGCCCCCTATGGTCGGCGCCATGGGACATATGTACCCACCCCCCCCTCCCCGTCGCTACGCCTCTGCGACCAACATGTAGCGTTCATACCGACATCTTCCTTGACTGTTTCAGACTACATAAAGCCAGTTAGTCACTACGTCGAGAACTGCCTGGCTAATGAGAGAGATACTCCTGAACCGGTACATCTGTATCGCGAAAGTTCTATCACTGTCTGCTGTATAAAAATCTTACCCCCACCACCGTGATAATTGTGAATTTAGGCCAGGGGTCGGCAACCTTTTGAGGCGGAAGAGCCAAAAGTTACAATTTTCAAAATTTCCCTGGTTTTAAAGAGCCACTAACATTTTTTTATTTCAAATATTTTATTTTTTTAGTAAGATTATTAGTATTTGTTCAAGGAGCTGGAGAGCCGCATCTTGATATCAAAAGAGCCGCATGCGGCTCGCGAGCCGCAGGTTGCCGACCCCTGATTTAGGCGAATACAACATAGATCCAAGTCTTACCATGAGCGAAACTCGTAGTCGATAAAATTATCTCCCATAAAGAGATGGCAAAATGAATCCAGGGGAAAGAATCAGCAGTTTCATTCCTAGAAGAAAAACAAATGATACAAAAATGTATGTGGAATATAAATAACTTTACCATTCACAATAAATTGATAGAAAAAAGTATTATTACGCCAAGTAAAAGAAATGGGAATTAATTCTGGCATTTTATTTAAAATATCAATTAAATATATCTTAATATATACAAAAATTAATACAGTTGATAAGATCATACATTATAATTATATAAATAAATTTTCAATCACTAATAGATGATGGGTTCACTATTCTCAAAACTGATCTAATTTTGATTGACCTACTTGGTTTTAAGTAATAAATTATTAATTAATTAAAATTATTAAAATAAAAAATAAGTTATTAAAATAAAATAAAAAACAAATAGGAAAATGTATTATTAAAAGAGAAAACTTAATAAAAAAGACGACCAGAATAAGATGAAATGGTTTTCTTAATGTTTTACGGAATTATCCTTTCAGCAATCACCTTCATATCAAGTACACCCCATGTGTATCCCCAACATTTTAATCAAATTAACATCATTGTATACATTTCGATGTCCCCACTTGATTTATCCGCCTCCCCCCCCCCCCCCCGAGATATTCATACCCAACTCCCTCTTTTTTATCGACTTTTAGTCTTTATTTTTCATAAATGGAGCTCATACGTTGCAAAACTCATGAATAATGTGTGCATATGTTTAGAGTAAAATAGATAGCTATCAAGTAAATCTGCACCAGTCCTCATACATATGTCGAATGATGGGCACAGAAGACTTCGAGACAAGGATGATATACCCTATCTATCTATATATATATAATTCTCTTCTGGAGCCGTTAGGAAACAAGCTGCAAGCGCCTCCTTGCAGTCCCCTCTCTTTCTCTCTATCACTATCTCTACCACCCCAACCCCACCCCACATGGTCTGGTGAGCTGTGGTCACGCTGTTTACATTTTTACAATCATAGAGACGGGTTTGGTGACGGCTATTAGGGGCAGATAATTTAGTTTGAAACGATTTTAAACTTAGAGGAGGTAACTAAGAGGCTGCTTTCACGTCGGGGGGGGGGGGGGGGGGGGGGAGAGGGGGGTTTAGTGTTTTTAAGCAAATATTTTCAGTGGCAGCATTGGTACTGTCGAATTCACAAATTATAAATTACTGAAAGTAGAAAAAAAAAACAACTAAATAGCGGCGTATGATACGCAGCGGGTCGGCTCGTCAATATTAATTCATGTCTGAGGCATATAAAAAATAAAAATAAATAAAAAACAAACATTTTTGCATTTTGTAGTCAAATTTTATACATAAATTGGACAATATTTAAGAAATAAAAGAACCAGGGGCGTAGCGAGGGGGGCGGGGGTGCGGACCGCACCGGGTGACACCATTTAGGTGGGTGACACCAAGGCAAAAAATAGCAAAATATATAGAGAAAAACTTGAGGGGGGTGCAAATCGAAAGTTTGAGGGGGGGTGCAAATCGAAATTTTGAGGGGGGGGGGTGCAAATCGAAACTTGAAAGTTTGTCACCGGAAGGGTCGCTACGCCTCTGGGGGAATACACCATTAAGTGCCGCACCGGGTGACACCCGACCTCGCTACGCCACTGAAAAGAACTAAAAAAAAAATTGAAATAAATTTAGAAACTTCCTCCGTAGCCATAAAGCTGATTATCTCTAAGGATGCAAAGAAATATTTAAAACTTAAATAGGAAACAAATCACAGTTTAAATTAGTACACCAAAACCTATTAAAATTACTTGTGAAAGATATTATTTCCTTGCTTAAATAGAAAGTTATGTTTTGATATTTGCCATTTTTAAAAAAAGAAACGAAATTTTTCTGTTAGATGTATATTTACATTCACTGTCTTTATTTATTTTCTAATGTTCCCCAGTTTACTGTTGTGAAATAATTACATCTGACCAGTTAAGATTTTATTAAATGATTGCGGAGTCTGGCAGCACTGTATTTTTGTAACTTAAATTAGCTTTACTATTGTATTCAAAAAAAAAAAAAAGAAAAAAACTTTAAAAATGTGAAATAGGGTTTACAGTGAATGTAGACTACACCTTGAACAGGTGGCATACCATGATGTCACGTGACCCTGTATGTATGTGTTCCTCAGGGTCAGGTGAAAGTGGTCAGGTGCCAGTATGTCGCTGACGTCAGGGCTGACTCTAGTCCCAGAGAAGGGGAGGCAACTCAAGGGAGATCATCCTCATCCACACACGCTCAAGGTAAATCAACTGGGTGGTCGTTCATAAGTCTTTGGTTGTGGAGGTGGGGGGGGGGGGGGTGAATTGTGTGTGATTTGGGGAGAGAGGGGGGGGGGGGGGTTACAATTAGTGTGAATCTTGTGGCTTTTCAAAATACATTTTTTGTGGCTAAAATATAATAGTCATCTTAGTACGTATTTTGGATTTGATTATAAATTGTAATACAAAATACTTAATGCACCCAAATCCTAACCCAACTCAGTTCCTCTTGAGAAGTTGGGAGAGGGCGGGGGGGGGGGGGTGATTGAGCTGTTTGTCTGTGCGTGTATATAGTGTAGGGTGGGGTAATAAATTGAAGTGTGACGACATTATCAGGATCTGACTTCATGTGACGATGCGTCACAATGGGTAGTGCTGTGAGGGCGGGGGGGGGGGGGGGGGGGGAGGGGGAGATAACAACGTTATTTATTGGTTACAGAGTGACAGTAATTAATTATATGTTGAAGTAAAAGTGTGATACTGTTCTTTTTATATTTATTCGCAGCAATGTTGGGTAATTTAACCAAGCAAAGAAGACTGAGGAAAAGAAACAACATTTCACTACCAGAGGTCAGTTTCGTTTGTTTTTTTCTCTGTTGTACTGTGGGGGTAATGACGATTGTGGTATTAGTTTGCTGAGGTTGAGGGAAGAAATGCTATGGGTTGTCGTGGTGTAGTGAAATATGGTAGTGTTTGCTTCAGCAATACACGAGGTTGTATATCACGTTTGCTTCAGCAATTCACTAGGTTGTAACTCACGTATCTTGTTGTAGCGTTTGTTTTCAACAATAAACTAGGTTTTATCTCATTTTTCTTGTTTACTAATTATGCCAGGGCCACATAAAATGTTAGTTTATTACCGTGAGTATGAGATAAAGAAACAACCAGAGTAACTTCCCATTTCAGCTGATGAGGCGTCATGTACCACGAGGGGGTAGAGACGGAGGCAAGAAGTCTCTGAGTGCCGCCCCCACCCCGGGGTACGAGGTCCAGGTAGCGGACCCACATTCTGGCGGGAGTTTGAGACTGGTGAGATGGTTGTTTGGTGGAGATATCAAATTGTTGAGGTTTTTTTGTGTAGATGACAATAATATTATGCAAATTCGTACTAGTTCAACTTACTTTTCTGTTCTATTTTATTTCCTTATTTCCTTATTGTTTTACTTTTGCTAGCTTTTTTGTTTCGACTTTTACATTTATTTATTTTTTAAACTTAACTTTCTTGTGACATTTACATTATTTTTCATTGTGATGTGTTTATATTTGCTTCAAACTATGGTTAGGTAAAAAGGTAAAATTTTTGAAGATTTTTTTAAACCAAATAATTCAAACTTCTCCACATCTTCTAGCGTGGCGAGTCGGCTACTGTCCTGCCCGCCATTACTGTCAGCTTTCAAGACACGGAGCCACCGCCCCCTGATAAACCCAGCTCAGCCAATGAGAGTTTAAGATTGGAAACACCAATGGAGCGATTGGTTAGTTTAAAAAAAATTACAGATATTTCGAACACTGCTTTACATTGATCTATATATTTAAAATACTTATACCTTGCAATTTTAAAATCTTGGCGATAATGTTTTTGTTCATTGTTTGTAGCCACCCCATTGTCCTGCTACTGTTAGATATTTATCATGGGCGTGGGGTGATCGACCCCCCCCCCCCCCCCCACACACGCCCCGCCTAGCTATGATGTATGTTCTGTTAAATGTACCAGTCTTATGAAGACTAAATTGTATACTCATCTTCTTTTCCATTTGTGTCCTTACACTATGGGGCAGATGAAGTAGAGTTCATCTGTTTCAAATATCTTGGCATACAAGGGGATAATATGCCCAGCCGCTTTTGTTTTCCCTAACGAGAGTTAGGTACCCATCATAGCTGGTTCATACTGATTTGAACCCAGATTTAAACTCAGGTTAGCAGTCTAGCTCTCTAAGGCTATGTCACGCCGACCCCCCCCCCCCCGACTACTTGCACAGCTGTTTTAACCACTCTATTAAAAATCAATGAACTCTATTTTATCCTGGTCTGACCGGGATCCGAACCCATGACTCTCAATACCAGATGCTAATTGCTTACCTCACACAGGCCAGACAGCCACAGCGTGTGTTCCTCACTCGGGAGAAGACGACGGCCGAGCCGGAAGTTTTGCCGGAAAAGTTGAGACGGGAAAAGCCGGTGCGAGCCACGTGTGTGCAGCTGGACGTTCTGAGACCAGGGGACATTTTTTGTGAGTCACGTGATATGTCCTGGTGTCTGAGATAGTGTCCTCGTTAATGTCCTCGTGTATCACAGTCACAGTCATTGTCCGAACTGTGTCATCGTGGTCTGGGTTATTGTTCTACAATGTCCTTATCTGTGTTGTTGTCTTATTATGTCCTTCTCTCTGTTATTGTCCTACAATTTCCATGTGTCTTTTTGTCCTATAATGTCCTTTGTGGGTTATTGTCCTAAAATGTCCCTCTCTGTGTTATTGTCCTACAATGTCCTTGTCTAGTTTATTGTCTACATTATACCTGAATCTATGTTATTGTCCTCAATATGTCCTAATGTGTACGTTTTTATCCTTATATTCTACACGCTTTTAAAAGGTAACGACTTTGAGACAGAAGCAATAGCGTATTTTTATTTCTTACTTCGCGAGTACATATGATAATTAATTTACCCAGTAGTCTTTACTATACCATCTAGAATAATATACACACCAGGGTTGTGCTGTTACATGTACCTCTTGTACACGACTGTCTGTGAGCCACTCAAGCATATTATTATGTAGATCCTACTTTAAATATTTTCATAATACACCGCTTCCGTTATGATGCCTGCATGATGATAAAACTATATTAAGTATAGCAATGAGATTCTATGAGCAGTTTATTTTCCTAGGGTTTGGAAGATGTTGCCAAGAAGTTGAGGTTTGACACTGGAGATATGGATGAGGAGGTGAGTCGTGGTTCAAGGACGTTTGATGTCTGGGGGATAGTGTTAATGTTAAAGATCTTATCAGTTACATAAGTTCATGTGATCTTAGGGTTAAAGGAAAATTGTTCAGTCCAGGCAAAATTTTAATAATGCATGTCTTTAGTTTCAGTGTTTCCTTCCAGACTTTTTTCTCCGGGGGGGGGGGAGAACTTGATATTTTCGGGGGGGGGGGAGGGGGGTGGACAACAAAATCCGTTTGGGGGGGGGTGGTGGTGGCGGACTCTGGTAAAAGTATGTTTTCTATGTAAATTCCATTTCGTTCGGGGGGGGGGGGGGAAAGCTGAGATGCCTGGAAGAAGCTCTGTGTTAATGTCATAAAACAGCTTGAAACAGCCGAGTGAAATGACGGCATGGTCAAGTCGGTAAATCTCATGGTTGCTAGACCGAAAAGTATCGTGTTCGAATCCCCGGCAGATGAAGCTCGGCAGCTGGGGACAGCAACTCATCTAGGAGGGAAAACTTCAAAATTAAAATTCTCCCTTAGTTTGTTCTTGGTTGGACAAAGGCCTATTAGCAAATCCGAAAAAAAAATATATAGGCTGAAGTCTGAAACAACTGCCTGCATACCAAGAGAAAGAAGTCTGAAGAAATACTGACATTGAGGAAAAAGCACTCCACGGGTTTCACAATACTCACAACTAAACAAAACCGATGTACAAATCTTGTTAAACGTTACAGTAACTAGGTCTATAAATTTAATTTGAAAAACAATGTTTTCACAATACTCACAACTAAACAAAACATTTCCCAATAACAATATTTTTTTAAACTCTCAGGAGACTGATAGATCTTTACCAGAAATTCACCCCCTCAACTCGTTTGGAAAAAGTTGCTTTGGTTAGTTGAATATCATTTTTTAAATATCATTTATAATATAATTTAAAAAGTCATGCACAATTTGTATAATTTTTTGACCTCTTAAAAATGCATACAAATCCTATAATTGCTGCAAATATGCATTTATTATCAAAATTATGTCAGCTGTAGAAAATGGGTAAGAATTTACGTATTTTACTACAATGGGACAGTTTTTTGAAAAAAAATTACCTCCGACTGCTGATTACGTAATTGTTTCGAGGTCTGACCAATTTACTGTAATGTGACCTAATTTTGACTGGCGTGTGACCCCACAGGTGAGTGACGGGGCAGAGGTGGTGAAGGTCAGCAAACGATGTTTCCTGCAACACGCTAAAAACAACACGATCCTTAAAGTGGATATCATGGTAAGATGTGTACACAGGCAGGTGTGCTGTGTACATTATCAAGTGTGTTGTGTACATTGTGAGGTGTGTTGTGTACAGTATTAGGTGTGTTGTGTACATTGCTAGGTGTGTTGTGTGCTTTGCTAGGTGTGCTGTGTACATAACCAGGTGTGTTGTGTACATTGTCAGGTGTGTTGTGTACATTGTTAGGTGTGTTGTGTACTTTGTCAGGTGTGTACATTGTCAGGTGTGTTGTGTACATTGTTAGGTGTGTTGTGTACTTTGTCAGGTGTGTACATTGTTAGGTGTGTTGTGTACATTGTCAGGTGTGTTGTGTACATTGTGAGGTGTGTTGTGTACATTGTTAGGTGTGTTGTGTAAATTGTCAGGTGTGTTGGTGTACTTTGTTAGGTGTGTTGTGTACACTGCAAGGTGTGTTGTGTACATTGTTAGGTGTGTTGTGTACATTGTTAGGTGTATTATGTACTTTGTCAGGTGTGTTGTGTACTTTGTCAGGTGTGTTGTTTACACTGCCAGGTGTGGCGTGTACACTGCCACGTGTGGTGTGTACAGTATCAGGTGTGTTGTGTACATAGTTATGTACACTGTCAGGTATATTATGGACACATCAGAAGTGTTGTGTAAGGTGTACACCACTAAGTGTATTATGTACATTGCCCAATTTCACTTGACCTGCGTACTATCAGAAGTGTACAGTGCGTAGAACTTAATTTTGTGTACTGCAACTGCCTCTGTAACATGTACACATTTAAATAGTTTACATGTATTTGTTTTAATTTAATTAACTGACTCTTTCTTATTGTTCAAATATCGATTTATCAAACCCTCACAAACTGCTAGGTACTCGATAGATCACGATTTATCAAACCCTCCCAAACCGCTGAATACTTCATAGATCACATTTAATTCTTACAACCGTCTCGCTTCAGCAACGATCTTACCTGAGCCCAAACGAGGCAAGTGACCTACTCAAGAGTCAGGACAATTGGCTGATGTACAAGACGGCCTTAATGAAGCGTCTTCTGGCCAATCTAACCAGGTAGTGACGTCACGGCACCTGGACGATCAGCTGGCCAGGTCTGGGAGTTGTCAAGTCAAGAAGTTGTCTGAGCATGTCAAGAAGTTGTCTGACTCCCAAATTCAAACTATAGCCTACTTTGCCATTGGCAATGATCACGATATATGGCTGCTCCCCAAATGGCGGACATTAAGTATATGTTTATAAAAAAATCTAACCCAGTATTAAATGAACTATTTTACACATATTTTCAAGTCAATATTTTGGCATTCGCTTTTGAGCTTACACTACAAGCACATTCCATCTCCTTCATAATATTTTTGCGAAATTTAATAAAAATTAATAACTTATAAAGTATTGTGTTTTTTTAATTATTATTTTGTTGGAATGTTAACATTTGATACATATGAACTCACACATGTACACACTAGCATACGCACATGATTTTTAAAAACGCACACACACACACACTCACACAATAGCATACACACATTATTTTTAAAACACACATACTCACACAATAGAGTACACACATGATTTTTTTAAAAAATACACACACACACAATAGCATACACACATGATTTTAAAAAAAATGTATAGACCTAGTTACCTAGTACCTTTTTGGGACAGAGGTTATGGTAGCAAATCCAAAAACAAAAGAAGACTGAAATTGGCGTATTTGGCGCACAGATTGGCACTTAATACTACATTGTGTTGGAGGGAATTCCTTCCAGCCTTAGTATTGAGAAAAAAGAAGAAGAACAATTCGGTGGAAAATGAGGATACCTACATACTAAAGCCCCTAAGATTATTGAGAATATTGGTATTTCTACACACTCTAGACAAATATTACAGGATAAAAATACGATTTTAACACCTCGGTTTAAACTACAAAACATGAACTACTAAAACCAAAAGGAAATGAATATTTCATTAATATTTTCATTTAATTCGTTTTTTTTTTCTACTCAGCTCTGACGAGAGTTAGTGCTATCTTCATATCGAGACTCGGGTCAAAAGTTAGACCTAATCAGAGGCGTATCGAGGGTGGGGGTGCGGAGGGGGGGGGGACATATGTCCCCGAGCGCCGACCTTATGGGGCGCCAAAATGGGTTGGAAAAATAAATTGAAAGTTTGAGGGAGGGGGGTGCAAATCAAAATCTTGGAGGGTGTGGGGGGGGGGGGGTGCAAATCGATAGTTTGTCCCCGGGCGCCGGGAAGGGTCGCTACGCCTCTGGACCTAATTCCAGATATTTCTCTGGAATAGTTTTTAAAATGATGCTGAAAGAAAAATCTAACATGTGTTCTCAGTCCTCGATATTTGGACAAATATTTGCATCTGCAACTTTCTTCTTTCCATTGTATTTTGAAGTATCGCATATTCTTGCACTGGCGTTTACAATTAAAACGCAGACCAAATTCCAGGATAAACGAAGATACTGAAGTGACAGGGTTATTCAAATTTGATTGGTGCGAACTGGAGAGGAAGTCAGGTATGCTCTCATTTGATTGGTTGAAAGCATTGAGTGAGAGAAGAATAATGACAGGGGTGATTTCTGACGTCATCAGCTTCCTGTCCAGCGAGGCGAGACGCCGTAAAGTAAACATCGTCTGCTTCTAGTCGTCGCGAGATTAGGCTACCATCTTTCTTGACGTCACCAGATAGCACGAGCCTACAAACAAATGATACGCCTTGTTAATGGCCCGGGGTATGAATGGACCCAACCTTGGTGACAAATTGAATAGGCGATGTTTTAGCCAGGGGATTAAGTGGGGTAGAGAAAGTCAAGCGTTGATTAGATAAAATATAAAATGTAAGAAATTGTTGAAATAAACGGGTCCATTCAATTATCGTGTTTTCTCTAGGTTTGTGTGTCTGGGTTGGGCTTGAGTGCGTGGGTTTGTTGGGGGGGGGGGAGTATTGAAGCGAAGGACATATTAAACAACGCTTCGTTCAGTTTCCTCCAAGGGGAAAGGGGGCATATATAACTTCCTATGGGGTAGAGGATGGGGGTAGGACGGAGAGCGGACACAGTAAAATAATTATTTTAATTGATGGGCCTATATTTTTCCTAGTTCGTCCGGGGGCCTCGAGGAGGGGGTGCATTTATCTATTAACACATGTATTTTTAAGAAATATTAGGACATAAATTAATAATTCAGGCAATCAAAGAAATGTAAAATCAAACTTGCATACACATTACACATAAGCCTAATCGGAAATGTACGAAAAGCTGAAACCCAATGTTAACTTTGCTAATGTTTATCTTGTAAAAGTAAAAGTAAAGTTTCCCTTTCTAACCTGACGGTCTATGGGGCAAGTGAAGTAGAGTTCATCTGTTTCTGTGACCTAGGCATATGAAGAGATAGTGTGGTCAGCACTAAGCCCAGCCGCCTTTACTTTCCCGAACGTGAGTTAGGTACCCATCAGAGTTGGGTGGACTCAAGGACGATCTACTGACTTGAACCCGGATTCGAACTCGAATCTTGTAGTCCAGCGAAATGTTTCTTAAGACAGTCCTGTCACCACTAGTCTATTAGACCCCATTGTTCACCTTATGCGGGTAGCTTCTAGTATTGTCTCTTCATTCGTTTCTCCCCCCACCCCTACATGTAAGCGAAATGTTTCTTAAGACGGTCTTGTCACCACTAGTCAATTAGACCCAATAGCTTCTAGTATTGTCTCTTAGACGTTCCGCCCTACTGATCGCGCGTGGGCGTTGACGCCAGCGGTATTTTATTTCGTTCTTTGACGGGTGTCTCGTGTTGTTGATATAGTGAGGGGGAGGGGGGGGGGTAGCTATACAATGTTAAACATGTTTATGCGATAATTAAAACTTTTTTTTTTGCTGTCCTAATAGTCTGACGGCTTTGTGGTCGGCATGATTGATGTTGGCCTTTTGGAGGTCGGCCATAAAGACTATCGGCCTTTCCTCATGGCCTTGTTATTAGTTAATGTCTTAATGTCTGCCTTATGTCCTTGTCGGCCTTTTTTTATATGTATTGGCCTTTTGTCCGACACCAATCATAGTCCTCTCTATGAACTCTTACCTCTACTCCTATGACAGTAACACACCAAGATCCACCCCCCCCCCCCCATATCAACCCAAACCCTTCCTCTCTTCATCCTAACCCACATCCCCTGCCTATCTCTGTGACATTTTTTCCTAAAATTTTGTTCGTTGTATGACTTTTTTTCTGTGACTTTTTTACCTAGCAAAAGCTATGACTTTTTTTCGTTCACCACCCAAGCCACATCTCCACCCCATCCATCCCCACCACATCCAGCCCACCCAAACCCACATCCCCCACTCCACTCCACCCCACACCACATCCTGGTCTATCTGGACAGCAACAATTCACACTCGACCTAAAACCGTCACACCGATCTCCAGCCCACAAACTAAATTATCGTAAACTAATGAAGTCAACATTAATATTACCATGTGTATAATATACATTTCTATAGTTCTGCCGACAAAAATGGACATGCCATACAAACTCGATGTAACAATGTATTATGAATTTTGTTTTCCTATCCAGGAAGAAGTATGACATAAAACTCGCCAATACGACATAAAACTCGCCTATATGACATAAAGATCATCTATATAAATGTCAGACTTTTTCGCCACTGGCCATTACCACTGCCTAGCCTATCCACCTATCACTTAAACTCCCACCCCACCCCTTCCTAATCCTGCCCCCGCACCCTCTATACAAATGACACCTGGCTCGCTGCTTACGTCACGGTCAACAAGAGGCGCCTAGACCCATACAACAACGATGACACCTTTTTATCTAAATGTGCCGGGGGGGGGGGGGGGGGGACGGGACGGACAACGACGACTCAATCGCCGTGACGTCATGGTACAGTGCCATTTTGTCACGTGGGGTAGGTCTGGTATATATTTGCTGGGACCACATCATAGATCACTCTATTATCAACTGATTGAACTAGCACCATCTCTGATTTAAAATAGAGTCAAACTTGGATACACTAGGGTAAAACTTGGTTACAACGGGTCAGACTCGGATACACTTGGGTCCGACTCGGATCGTTGTGAGATCAAATTTAGGACCAAAACAGGAGAACTTGTTCCCACACATTATTTTGTAGGTAAGTCTCATCTTTAAAATCCAATCTTAGAGCCGTAGATTAGATTTACGCACTACTAATCTAAACAATCTCCAAAATATACATTAAATTACCATTTACCTACGCTTGCAATCTAAACATTTCGTTGAAATTTTTATACCTTCAATTTTAAACATTACATTTAGATTTATTCACCCCCATTTTAAACATTACATTAAGATCTATGCACCCCCAATTTAACCATACATTGAGACTTAAGTACCTGCAATTTAAACATAACATTTGAATTTATACACCACCAATTTAAACATTACATTGAGATTTGAGCACCCTAATTTAAACATTACATTGAGATTTATGCACCCCCAATTTTAAACATTACATTTAAATTTATACACCCCTAATTTAAACATTACATTGAGATTTATGCACCCCATTTTGATCATTACATTGAGATTTATACACATCCAATTTAAAAATTCCATTTATGCACCCCAAATTTAAACATTAAGTTGAGAATTATGCACCCCCAATATAAAATTTACACTAAGATATATACCTACACCCACCATTTCTAAACTTTAGATTATAATTAATACATCCCCAATTTCAACATTACACCAAGATTTATGCACACTCCCAATCTAAACACTACACTGAGACCCATGCACCCCCATGATAAACATTACATATCATTTATACACCCCCATTCTAGACATATCCTAATCCTACGATAATACACACCCTGCCTAGTTTAGATTTATCCACCCCTGTAGTCGTAACATTAGTCGTAACTCCAGTTTAAGTATTATAATACCCCCCCCCCCCCCCCTTCCCTCCATTCTAAGTTTATCAGTCTCACTTTCGGTTTCATATTTTTGCCATAATTCCTTTTATAGATTTTAATATGATCTATAACACAAAAGAATGTATCATAAACAAGTGTATAACGCTTACAATTGATCTATTTTTGAAAAATAGTACTTACATAACAGCTTCTACTGCTTGATTAGTTTTTGAACATTTTTTTTCAATAAGAATTAATGCAAATAGGCAATCCAGGATCCACCACCCCTACACAACTATTTCAGAATCAACCACCACAACACCCCTTATTACACTTAACATCCAATGTCCCAGCACTTATAACTTAACATAACTTTCATATACCACCACCCATGTTATATAGTATAAACATAGAACAACAGCAGTAATTAAAAC